ATAATTCTTTCCTTTGTTAAATCCTCTAAATTAATTATAATCTGACACAGTTCGTCAATAAATCATTTCTCTTTTATGTTCACAGACATCCATGATGATCCAGCGATCTGATGCCAACTACAAAGAAATTGTGCAAGAAAGAGATAGTCTTCTAGTCAAACTGAAGCTGTCGCAACAAGACAAAGACAAGCAGCAGCGCTCCGAAGAAGAGCTCCGGCGCATCAAACTCTCCTTGGAATCTGAGATCAAACAGAAGCAACGTCTCCAGGACGAAATTGATAAAATTACCAAGGATTTCAAGTACTGGAAAAGCCAATACGAGTTAAAGGAAGGGCAGATCAGACAGAGTGAGTCAGATCGAGACAAAGTACAGAGAGACAAGGCCTCCTTGCAGAGTGAGATCCAAAGATTGACTGCTGAGATGAGGAGTCTGGAAGAACGCTTCAAGAGTCGTCTTCAGAGCTCGGACAAGGAGATCTCAGAGCTCATAATGAAGAAGGAGGCTTTGGAAAGGGAATTGAAGTTATTGCAACAGCGTCCGGTTGCATGTTGTCGATGTACACAAACCAGTCAGTCTGTCTCTGATAGTAGCAGTCAGAAACTGACAGTGAAAGGTCTCCGTGGTGAGGTCTCACTCACAGAGCTTGTAGACTCCAACTTGCTTGATCAGACCGATTTGGATAAAGTAAACCGAGGACAACTAACAGGCAAAGAAATTGAGGACAGACTCAGATCGTACCTAGGCGGCTCTGATTGCATCGCTGGTATCTATGATGAGGCCAATGATAGGGTCTTGCCCTTTTACCAGGCCATGAAAGATGGTCTACTTCGGCGAGGAACCACCCTGGAGCTCCTGGAAGCCCAGGCTGCCGCTGGTTTCATAATCGATCCAGTCAACAATGTCTGCATGACAGTGGACGAAGCATGGAGGAGAGCTCTTGTGGGAAAGGAGTTTAAAGACAAGCTTCTGTCTGCTGAAAAGGCTGTGACAGGATACAAAGATCCTGCAACAGGAAAGATCATCTCACTCTTTCAAGCAATTGAGAAGGAGATCATAGAGAAGGGTCATGGGATTAGACTGCTGGAAGCTCAGATAGCCAGTGGTGGCATCATTGATCCTAAAGGGAGTCATCGGATTGATGTGGAAGTGGCTTACAGGAAAGGTTACTTCGACCGCGAAATGAACGAGATTTTGACATACGAGGGCGATGACACCAAAGGTTTCTTTGATCCCAACACCCATGAGAACCTCACATATCTGCAGTTGAAAAAGAGGTGCATCAAAGACCCCAAGACTGGGCTTATCCTGTTGCCTTTGAAGGACAAGAAGAAGCCAAAGCAAACGACGTCTCAAAAGAACACACTGCGCAAGAGGAGAGTGGTGATTGTAGACCCTGACACCGGCAAAGAGATGACCGTACGAGAAGCGTACCATCGTGAGTTAATCGACTATGACACTTTCCTGGAGCTTTCGGAACAAGAGTGTGAGTGGGAGGAGATCACTATCGAAGCATCTGACGGCAGCAAGCGTTTACTTATTGTCGATCGCAAAACCGGAACCCAGTATGACATTCAAGAGTCCCTAGATAGGGGAGTTATTGATAGACAAACTCTGGACAAGTACCGTGCCGGGACTCTGACACTCCACGAGTTCGCAGGTCTGATCACAAGTAAAGGCAGCGGTTCTGAGCTTTCCATCTGCTCCAGCAGTCCTGAGGATGTTGCTACTTGCAGCAGTCCAACACAGATTGCGCCATCATCTCCAACCATCCGCAAACGTTTTGCTAGCGTATCCATTACGTTCTCCCCTCCATCTGATATTTTTGATGACCAGAGCCCCGTGGGAGCCATTTTTGATACAGAAACCCTTGAGAAGATTACCATCCCAGAGGCACAGCGACGTGGAATAGTGGACAACATCACTGCTCAGCGGCTCTTGGAAGCCCAGGTTTGCACTGGAGGGATTGTCAATCCTGCTACTGGCCAGAGACTCTCCCTGAAGGATGCTGTACAGCAAAGCCTTATCGATGAAGACATGTCCGTCAAGCTAAAACCAGCACAGAAGGCTTATGCCGGTTTTGAGGATGTGAAGACCAAGAGGAAACTTTCTGCCGCAGAGGCCATTAAGGAGAAATGGTTGCCTTACGAGGCAGGGCAGAGGTTTTTGGAGTTCCAGTACCTGACGGGTGGACTCTCATGCAGAAGGCCTACAAAGCAAAGAAAAAGCCAACCTAATTATTATTTGGACAAATTTGTAATGAACACACATAGGCATACATCGGACATACTGTACATTCAACAATCAGCATCCATGTGCAATTTAACAAAAACATCAAAAAGGAAACCAGAAAACAATGAAAAAACTGATCATTTAAAACTACTAAAAAACAATTGTAAATCTTAAAGAGATCCCAACAATCGATATCTCTTGCTTCAGTATCATGAACACAAAGTGGCTTGCTTTTTGAGCAGAAAAACACTGTGCAAAACAGTTCAAATATGAACATGACACATGACAACAGACATGAATAACATAACATTATGAAGGCATAAACAACAAAATAAAACAGCACATGATTACAAAGCCAGCAAAGGATGAAACTATTAAGAATCAATTTCATTAGTGTGCATCCATAAAATGGGAAGTTAATCATCCATAAAATTGCTTGCAACTTTTATTTTTATTATTTTAATTATGTATAGAGAGAGAGAGAAATTATTTGGCACCACCCGTGAATCATGTTTTTGCACCTTTCATCATGAGTTTGCACCTTAAGCAAGTTTGTATAATCATCTTACTAATAGGCTATATGTTGTCAGCATATAGGTATATGTTCGCATGACATAACCCACGCTTACATAAGTAACATCAAAGGCCTATATCTGCATGTAATTTACAGTAATATATAATACAGTCATTGTTACCTTTTGTAGGCTATCATATAGCACAATGCCTATAGTAAACAAACACTGCTTATATTACACACATTCACAGTGACTCAGCTTTTATCTAAAAGCCATCTAGCGACTCATTTCAGTATTACAGTTCAGATGCTAAGCATTTAATTTGTTCATATTGTAAATAACACTTCATATTTGGTCAATTTTGAGTTCAGACAAGACATACATACAGATACCTACCTATGTATTCAACCTCAGTTATAACATGAATAGTAGAATTGGAAGAAATTAAATATAACAGAGTAAACTTCATATATTCTGAATCCTGTTAAAGTACATGTTTTCAGAGTTTATACAATAAGTTCTCTACAGTGCAACTGTGCTCCTGTGGAGCTTTTTGTAGTTAATGATTAATATCAGCATCAACAGGAGCTCCATAAGACACGGTAATGATGCAGCAGCACAATCACTGATTATCTGTTGATTTAGCAGAACTTCAGTATAGTAACTCTAGCAACAGTGCAGGAAATACACATTTGTTCACCAGGGAAATACTTCATACAGAATATTAAAGTGGCATGTTTAAAAGGTGCATTAGATGCCGTAAATATGATACAAATAATACTGCACAACCTAATATAAACCTAAAATAACAGGGAGGTGTAGATAAACAGAGTAATTTCCTGTCTGTGAAGATAAATTGTAAAAAAGTACAGGCTGTTGACCTGAACCCGGACACTGGCACGCAAGGTCACGCCCCTTCACTGAAAAAGAACTCGTTTGAAAGGCCTATTTCTTCAAAATAAAAGTTCAGATGAAAACGTATGATTTCATACATGCATATAAATAATTACCTGTTGTTGTTTTTTTTCAATAGACCCAATTGTTATCATTTTTTCGCGACAAAATAGACGGTTTATACTTTGGAAAACGCATTGTTCTAATTGTTTACGCGGCACAATCGTTTTAAAAAGACTTTTATTTTGTAAAAACGGATAGCAACGTCACTTTGACGTGTGACGTGTTACATCACTCTGTTCCCGACAGTCACGCGACACGCGCAGCTGCTCTCAACCGGCAGAAAAGGACAGCTTCACAACAGGCGCGCAGCAGAAAACTTCCTAAACAGGTATGTTATAACCTTAATTTAATATCTGATTGTTTTGCTAATATAATAAAATATTATAGTTTAATTACAAAGAGCGACAGTGATTTTGTGTGCTCTCAGAAGCCGCTAACTCTTGAGGAAATGTCGCATCTTTTCATTGAAAGCTGATGATAAGATGTAAATCAAAAGACTGTCATTGCTGTTTATATTTTATTACATATGTACATCAAGTGAGAACTGTGTAAAATCAATTATTAAGTGGCCTGTGTGCATCGTTTGACCTTCATATAACATGTCATTAGTAATCACTAACTTTTCACACTTTTCCTTTCAGTTTCCTTGATGTATTCTTTGATATATCATTAACCTCCTCTTGCTACAACACACTAATGACCTAAAGTCATGGTTCTAAACTAAAAAAAATATATAATAATAATAAAAAAATATCTTACGTTTTACAGTACAATATGGTTCGTAATTCAGAATCACTTAAAGGGGTCATATGATGCGATTTCAATTTTTCCTTTCTCTTTGGAGTGTTACAAGCTCTTGCTCTAAAGGCTTGTTCACACCGGGACGAATATCGCGCGCGATTATCGCCGACGTTTAACAAACTTTGTTGTGACTAAACAAAGGGCGCCAATGTAAGTGTGCACACCGATGCGCAAAACGCGAGGCGTAAAAAGCGACATTTTAAAAAAAACGCCTCGGGCTCGGGTTAAAAACTGGCCGACCAATGAGATTGGCGCTTTTGTTCACGCGATGTGTACCGGGGTATTTCTGTTTTTCATTAAGCGCCATCTAATGTCAGGGAGCGAATTTGCACGTTCACTCGGCTCATCGCCAGCGAAAATCGCTTGGGTATGAACACAAAAGACGCGTCGAAAAACGTTGGCGATAAGCGCGCGCGATAATCGTCCCGGTGTGTACGAGGCTTAAGACTGGTTTTGTGCTCCAGGGTCACATATATAACATCACCTTAACTCTTTCATATATTGTCTCTCTGTGATGTCTCTTAAGGGATGGCTGGGTTCTTTGCCATTGTGGCATACAGACTGTTCAAACTGAAGAACAGAGGAGATACGAAGATGTCAGTCCACCTGATTCACATGCGTGTGGCTGCGCAGGGCTTTGTGGTGGGAGCCATGACTTTAGGTGAGGTGCTTTGCTAGATTTACACACACATCCTCAGAATTAGAGAAATGTATCGTTTAATGCAATATTTTGTCTTTTTGTTTGCAGGAGTGATCTATTCTATGTACAGAGAGTACGTTCTCAAACCTCACGAAGCACAGAAAGCGTTAGAGCAGAAGGCATTGGAAAAAAAGTGAAGAGAAATGTGTTAGATTCCTGCGATATCCTTAATACCAACGGTTTGTGTTTACTGCTAACATAAGAACTTTTTAAAAATAATTTCTTGAAACGGTTTCCTTTTTAAACTTTAATAAACCTCAGAAAAGGAGGTTAGGTTGCCTGGCATGTTTAAGAAACATTGTACAGTATGCGACGGAATTGTAGCTATTTTGCTACCGCCAACTACTATTTATGAAAAAAAAATTTTTTGTTACTGAAAATATTTGGATTAGTGTAATTTCTGCTAAATGCTGCTGCTCTTATGTCAGTGTTGTGCCCTTGTTTCATCACAGAAGTGTGGAATTAAGACCTTTGCACCTTGTAACTCAAGATTCGTTCTTGTATCATTTAAGTCAATAGTCGAAAGAAATTCCAGGACAGCAAACCTAACGAACCATCATCTGAAATTTGACAATGCATTGAACACAATATAGGGACTTCACCACTGCTTCACTGTGTGTATGAGTGTAAGTGTCACGAGGAAGGAGAGGAGCTTGTTCTTTTGTAGATTTATTGATTGATTGTGTTACTGTGTGAGGTAATTATTGCACCTTTTTTTTCATATTTCAAAACAGACACAAATTGTACTTTTAGAGTGGTATATATTTTGAGGATCTCGGCTACCACTGTGTTTATCTTTGCCAATAAAAACTGTTGTAATTCCAATAAACTCTTCTGGTTATTATTTCACACTCGTGTGTTACTGTGATGTGTGTGTTTTGCAGTCCTGCTCCGGGAGTCCCAGGATAGTACCATAAAGTATACAGTATGTCAGTTTTCTGTATGCATAATATGCTTCTGATGTTAGTTGTGCTACTATAATACAGAATCCAAAATGCTTCTTTGATTTGAACGTCCATTTACAGTGGGATGAATGAACATTTATCTCGTGGTTTACTCATTGTTTGATTAGACTGCCAAAAAATTTAATGTTTTTACACAAAATTAGAATTCATCATGGCTTATATGAACTACTGAAACAGCCCGTCACACCCATGAACTGCAACCAACCATTTTCTGCTATCTGTATTTATTACATTTAATCATTTCACAAGTGACTAAGACACTTGGCAGAAATGCCTGTCACCAGTGATTGATACACGTCTGGATTTGTAAAGACCACAGAGACTCAGTTTAACTCAATCAAAGGACGGTGTATTTTACTGGCCTCACTAACAAATGACGTTAGGTTTGCACATCTCTAAATAGATGATGTTGCCTAGTTTGTACTGTGTAAGTACATGCTGAATGTTATTGCAGGATATTTTGGACTTGCAGGTCTTTGGTACCATCTCAATATCACCGAGATTCAGAACAAAGATGAACAAACACTTTTCCAGGATCTGAGACTGATTTAGCAATAACAAAAATAAGACCAAAGCCAAACAATGTGGAATAGATGTAACAGGTACAATGACACAAACTTTAAGGACAAATTTTGGTGTAGGGTGATAGAAAATATGGTTTGTACAGTATAAAAACCATTACGCCTATGGAGAGTCCCTGTAAACCATAACAACCAATGTGTGTGTGTGTACCTGGTATTTATCAAGTTATGGGGACCAAATGTCCCCACAAGTATAGTAATACCAGTCAATTTTAACCTTGTGGTGACATTTTTTTTTAGGTCACCATGAGGAAACAAGCTTATAAATCATACAGAATGTGTGTGTGTGTGTGTTGTGTGTGTGTATTGTGTTGTGTGTGTGTTTGTGTGTGGTGTGTGTGGTGTGTGTGTGTTGTGTGTGTGTGTGTGTGTGTGTGTGTATGTGTGTGTGTGTGTGTGTGTGTGCTATTTCACAGGACTGGATGAGACCAAAGTGTTCTTCACCCGTGATTGGTTTTTATGAAGGATCAAGGAGCATAAAAGGTCTACAGTGCCTAAAGAGGGAGCTCTGCTCATGCTTCCTGTTGAATTTCTCTGTTTGCAGAGTGTTTTTGCTGCTGGCTTGCCTGTTGAGATGCATGCTGGTTTGCCTCTTGTGTGCAGCTTCTTTTCTTTGTATGTGATATGTAGGCCTACTACATTATTATAAATATCTAAAAATCTTTTCCACACTCTCTCTCTCTGATAAGGGATTTAGTTATTTATTTTAGGCTTTTGTTGAGTGTTTCGGCCTTAAAAAAAAAGCTTAAAAGCTGTAAAAAAAATGTATATCCTTTCAAAAAGCGTTGGAGCAATATATGGACGGCTTTCTATGATTTTTTTTTCTAATTTGTAATAAGTGCCTAAAGAGGGAGCTCTGCTCATGCTTCCTGTTGAATTTCTCTGTTTGCAGAGTGTTTTTGCTGCTGGCTTGCCTGTTGAGATGCATGCTGGTTTGCCTCTTGTGTGCAGCTTCTTTTCTTTGTATGTGATATGTAGGCCTACTACATTATTATAAATATCTAAAAATCTTTTCCACACTCTCTCTCTCTGATAAGGGATTTAGTTATTTATTTTAGGCTTTTGTTGAGTGTTTCGGCCTTAAAAAAAATGTATATCCTTTCAAAAAGCGTTGGAGCAATATATGGACGACTTTCTATGATTTTTTTTTCTAATTTGTAATATTTCTAATATTTGTATATAGACATGTATTAAGCTCCCACCATTGTACAGCTGTTTGTGTTACATAATTACATTCCTGTTGTTATGAATTATTTGTAACAAGTGACCTATTATTTTACTACTAATAAAACAGCCTAGTTAGATGTCCAGTGAGGTTATCAGAGGAGTCTCTGCCATAGACCGTCTCTGCACGCACTTCCTACACTTTTAGAAAAAAGGTACAAAAGCTTTTTCACCCTTTCAAAAGGTACACATTTGTGCCTTATTTATCCCTCAAGGGTGGTTTTTAGTGCCTTAAAGATACATATTAGTACCTCAAATGCACATATTAGTACCTAAATAGTACATAGTAATACTTTAAGGTATCGCTCCAGTGACATATTTTGTACCTTTTTACTCTGAGAGCGTGGCAACGCGTTTCCACGGAGACGGTCGTGTTTACAAATGGACGGGAAACCACTAGCGAAACCTTTAGTGTCTATTAAATGACGGACTATACTCTCTTAGATATATTTATGAATTTATTTGAACCATAACCATGTCAATCCCAATGCCAATTCTTAACTAAGTTGAGCGGAATCTTACGTCGTCCGGTAAGTTTTTGTTCAGGTTTAAACGGACCGCTTGAGAATCCTCTCCGTACTGTAGATTATAATAATGTTAACTTAAACGTTAATTTGTCTAAAATAATCGACATTGCTCTAATATCATACATATATGCTTTATAGGAGTAGTAGTAGTAATAAAAAAATAAATGTTATTTTTATTTTATTATTGCATTTTATTTGCATGTCACATTGCAGCTCACAGGGGTTTACAGACTAGAATTTATAAACATTAACACAGAGTAAACATAATACTAAAAATAAAATAATATAAAAGGACAAAAAGTGCTTTAAAAAACAAGCCTGCAACAGGCAACCCATGCAAATGAGCTGAATCAGGTGTAATATGCTCTCTGGATGTGTGGATGTTTCTTTCTTTGAAGCATGTTTGGACAGCTCTCATCTATAACTGCATTAGTTTGCATAAACAAGCTCTCATGCCATTTGTCAGATGTGTCATATTGTCTCTGATCTCTCAGTGATGGATGGTGACAGTGATGAAATAAAGGAGCAGCTGAGGCTTCAGTTTCAAGCTCTTCAAGAGCAACAAGTGCAGCGCATCCAGAGAAGACTGGAGATGAAAAAGACGGACTCAAACGCTCCTCCTCTCAGCGGTCTGGACAATATAAACTTCACAGAAGAGGATGATGACATGATGGGTCTATTCAATGCAAGGTGACACATGAAACATGAGTTCACAGAGCGGCTATCACAAATATAATTATTAGGGTCCATCATGCCAGAAATGAGACCTCGTAATTTAGCAGTCTGCATGGCGTTTTTTCCCCCTTTTTATCACTTTCATTTAAAATTCTATTACCTCTGCATGGATTTTCCTTCTCTAATTTTTAGTTATTCAAAATTACATAACTATATAACTTCTAACACACACACACACACACACACACACACACACACAAACACACACACACACACACACACACACATTTACCATGTGTTAATTCGATATGCAGTGTGTATGAATTAAATAGTAATTGTACTCTAATTCAGAGTGACGCAGAATGAAAACAAACAGCTGCACGATCATGTGAGGGAGCTGAGAGATGAGAACGGCAGACTCCATAAACTGCACAGTGAGAAAGACTTTGAGATTAAACACCTGAAGAAGAAGAGAGAGGAGGAAAGATTGGCTTTAGCAGGTAAACAGTGCACCATTTCTATTGTTGTGAGCTTGATAGTGGCCCAAAAAAGTTAGGACTCTTACATCCGAAAATGTATTGCACTGCATGTGGCATCTGCAAACAAATCATATTCTAAAGTGTTTCTCTAAGAGTGTAGAGGTAAGTGGCTGCATGAAGTCAAAGTATATTACTACTATTTTTCAATATTTTTGAAAGCAGTCAAGGCTGCATTAAAAAAATGGAAAAACAGTAAGATTTTTGATCAGTAATATGCATTGCTAAGAACTTAATTTGGACAACTTTAAAGATGATTTTCTCAATATTTAGATTTTTTTGCACCCTCAGATTCCAGATTTTCAAATAGTTGTATCACAGCCAATTATAACAAACCATACATCAATGGAAAGCTTATTTATTCAGCTTTCAGATGATGCATACATCTCAATTTCGAAAAATTGACCCTTATGACTGGTTTTGCGGTCCAGGGTCACATTTGTGTTCAAAATGGTGACCACTTTTATTTGTAGGGTTCTTTGATAAGCAGAACATGTATTTGAAATAGAAATCTATTGTTACATTACAAATGTCTTTACTGTCACTTTTGATCAATTTAATGCATCCTTGTAAAACAAAAATCTTAATTTTCTTTCAAAAACATTTGGAACATTACTGTATATAACAAAATATATTTTGAAAGATGCTACTTGTCGTGCCATCCTAATGCAATGCCATTCATACATTAAGTGCAGTGAGTCTGGTATATAATGAGTGTGTGACAGTCTTTTTTGGTGCTTTCTTTGTGAAGGTACTGCTGGTCTGGCAGGAGATGCAGGAGCAACCAAAATTGTGGAACTGTCAAAAAAGAATCGAGAATTAGCAGCTGAAATAGAACGAGAGAAGACCAAAACGAAACAAGCAAACAATCGAGTCAAAGAACTGGAGAAAGAGGTAAAGATAAAACAGAATCGTTAACTCCTTTGATTTCAGATGCATTTTTTTGTGCACTGTTCTGTGCTACAGCATGATGCATTCAAAGTTGCTTTTGTCAGCTCCTTCTCAGTGTGGGGTTTCATCAATATCATTGCTGTTTTATTAGCTTCAGGCCACATTGTTACTTAATCCTGGCAAGAAGACAACCAAAACGCAGGATTCAAGGACTGTGAACGACCATCTTGAAGTAATATTGTGTTGATCATCATTTGGTACATGATTAGACATTGGTAACTGTTTTGAATGACATTCTTTTCAATGTGTTTTTGTGTAGAACAGCCCCATAGTAAAATCCCTGCAGGAGAAACTATCTACAGCCCAACTCAAAATGACTGAATACCGCAACCAGATCCAGACCTGTAAACAAGAGTTAAAAATAGCACACAGGGTTTGTTCACAATAAATCCTGTCATTCATGTGATCAGTAAACATCATGTGATGATTTAGTGGAACTGTTTTGTCAGGTGTTGAGCTGTGAGGTGGGCGAGGACGTCAATATTCAGCAGATACTGTGTAACCCGGGAGGCTGGAGAGGCCGTTCTCAGCAGATCCTCGCCCTTCAGAACAGAGTGAGTCTTCAGAACATAGCCTCAACTTTTAGCGTGACTGATTTGTTTTAGATACTGATTATTCACTCGTTTGTTATACATGTTAATCAGCTTTCATGCATTGAGAAGGGCTATTCTGTTTTGGACATTTTCACGAGCAAAGCAAAAGTGCTGTTTCATAATCAAAATTCTTTTGGATTTGTCATTCAAAATAGACTTTTTTTTTTACCTGTAAGTTCCGAGTTTCAAGTCTTTTTTTCTCATAATTCCAAAAAAAGTCCAAATTGCGAGATATTGTGAGAAACTCAGATTTGCAAAATGTTAACTCGTACTGCGAGAAAGGAAGTCCGAATTCAGAGTTTATATCTCGCAATTCTGAGTTTTTATATGTGACCCTGGACCACAAAACCAGTCTTAAGTAGCACGGGATATTTGTAGCAATAGCCAAAAATACATTGTATGGGTCAAAATTATTGATTTTTCTTTTATGCCAAAAATCATTAGGATATTAAGTAAAGATCATGTTCCATGAAGATATTTTGTAAATGTCCTACTGTAAATATATTAAAACTTAATTTTTGATTAGTAATATGTGACCTTGAGAACTTAATTTGGACAACTTTAAAGATGATTTTCTCAATATTTTAATTTTTTAAATTGACCCTTAAGACTGGTTTTGTGGTCCAGGGTCACATATTGCAATTGTCTCACAACTATCTTACAATTTTAATGGAATTGTATTTATTCAGCTTTCAGATGATGTATAAATCTCAATTTCAAAAAATTGACCCTTATGACTGGTTTTGTGGTCCAGGGTCACATATTGCAATTGTCTCACAACTATCTTACAATTTAGTCTATTTTTCTTGTGATTCAGAATCTATATCTCACAGTTCAGACTTTTGTTTCTCGCAACTCTGAGAAAAAAGTCAGAATTATGAGATAAAAACAGAATTGTGACATATAAACCCAAACAGTTGTGTGTGTGCATGTATTTTTTTTCACCATGGAATAAAAAATAAAAGTAACTGCAACTTTTTTATTTCACTATTCTAACATTTTCTTGCAATTATGAATTAATGCACAATTCTGACATTTTTCTTGCATTGCAAAGAAATGCTGTTATAATAACGATGATACTTTTATATTTATTCTAACATTTTTCATAAAAAATGGAAATCTCTGCAAAAGTATCTAAAGAGTCATTATCCACTAATCACAAACTCATTGGACAGAATTAAAATTGGCTTGAAACAACCATTCCATATGGAAGCTTGTTTCTGCTACAGGATAAAAATATTTAAAAAGATAATTGTGACTTTTTATCTCACAATTCTTTTTTTTTTTTTTTTTTTGCAAATGTCAAAAATTCGGAGAACTGTGACAGAAAGTCTGAATTGTAGGAAAAAAAGTTTTTATTTTTTGATTCCGTGGTGGAAACAGGCTTCCATGATTTCACCCATTATTGGAATTTGCTCTGTTGTATTCATAGGTCACTTAATACTGTTAAACATTTTATACACTGAAGATGCGAGACCTGGAACAGCAGCTGAGCCAGTCCTCTCACAGGAAGCAGTTATGTGACCTCGGCCTGGAGGAGGAGATCACAGGAACGGGAGGCCTACTGAAGACTCAAGACAGAAACCTCAGCCACATCCGTCACATAGAGAGGGAGAGGAAGGAGACACTGGAGGTTGTGCACGTTGATTAAACATCTTTACGGGTCCATTTATGTTATAACATTTCACATTTCGATAATGACGTGTCTTTGCAGAAGCTCACAGTGGATTATGAAGTTCTTCTTGAGGAGCACTCAGACACGAAGAAGAAACTGGAGGCCTCTAAATCCAGGAACAAAGTGTTGAGCACAGAAGTCAAAGCCCTGAAGAGCCAGATCAGCACTCTGCTGGATAAAGGCAAACATGACGATGAGCTGGTCGATGCCTTATTGGTAACAGATTCTTGAATTGCTGTGTGATACCCCAATACAGAATGTATAAATATTATACACTCTTAAAAACAAAGGTTTCAAAAGGGGGTTTTATTTTTGGATTTTCCGAAGAACCTTTCAGTGAACATTTCTTCCTTAGTGTGAAGAACATTTCAAATTCTAAAATCCCATTTTTGGGACAAAATACTGTAAGAACCCAACACATATGACTCGCAAGCTGCTAAAAGACACCAAGGTTCTAAATTAAACAGTTAGACAGCGATATATTGAAATACTCCAATGTTCAAGTAATAGTTATTTATTAATAGTGTTGCAAAAAGGTGGAAAACTTCCAATAAATTTTGGAAACATTCCAGGATTTTTTGGAATATTCCTGGGATTTTTGGAAAGTTTCCGGAAATTTACCGGAAATTTGTCACCCCTTTGCAACCCTATTTATTAATATAAATTATTATATATAAATATATTAATATTAATGTCATTAATAATGATAATAAATAAATCTATAACGATCTTTTACCCTATATATACAGTATTTAAATACATAAATATAAATGTAAATAAATATTTTTGTCTGAATAAATAACAACTTATAAACATGTCCAGTATGAGCAGAATTTTGGTAACACTTTAGATTAAGCAGCACATATTCACACTATTAGCTATAGTTTTTCCTAAAAAAACTCCTAATTTGCTGCTTATTAGCAAGTAAGGTAGTTGTTATGGTAGTTATGTTTAGGTATAGGGTGGGTTAAGGGATCCAGAATATGGTCAGGCAGAACTAGGCATTAATATGTGCTATGATGCTAGCAATATACATCATGCTAATAAGTAACTAGTAAATAGTGAATAGTGTTCCCTAATCTAAAGTATTACCACGTTTTTCATGAAATCTAATGTTAGACATCAAACAGACATTATTGTAAATAGTAATATATTGTAGATATTCTTGTAAATAATAATAAACGCATGTAACAGACGCATGACCTCTTGACTCCCTCCTCCAACACAAGCAGGTGATATTGAATATTGATTTGGCAGGTGATATTATATATTTGAGCAGGGCTGATCTCTGACTCGCTCCTCCGACAGAAGCAGCAGGCGAAGTGGCAGGCCATGCTCGGGCATCTAAGTCAGAAAGGGTCCCAGCGTGAGGAGGCTCAGCAGGGCCTGGAGCGACATCTGCACAGCGAGGCCCAGCAGCACGCCTCGCTCGTCCAGCAGCTCAAAGCCATGGTCTCAGAGAAGGAGAACAAGGTCAAAGAGCTGGAGCAGGAGATCCAGCAACTCGCCCTCATGGTATGACATGTCTGATCACATCATCAGCGCTGTTGTCTTTCTCCTGCTTATGCATGTTTTGTGTGTCTGGAGCAGAAGCAGTCAGAGTGTAAGAGTCAAACTAACATCAGGCCTTCGACATCACGACATGAGAACAGCAGGGAGTCAAACTCTGCCAGGTATTATCATTCTTAAAGGGTTAGTTCACCCAAAAATGAAAATTGGCTTGTGTTTTACTCACCCTCGAAGCATCCTAGGTGTATATGACTTTCTTCTTTCAGACGAATTTTAGCAAAGGAAAACCAGTCTCCTCTTGGCTTATATCGAAATCCTCCGACATTTTTATTTGCAAATCTTCGATTTGTACTTCTAATTAGTGACTGCAGAAAAAGTGCACTTTAAATACCCGGATGATGCACTTAAATAACCGAGAAAATGAAGTGTGGAATGTTGGACACTTCATGCACTCAACTGTCACAGCTTTAATTACGTAGTGAAGGGGGAGGGGCTATCAGACTCCGATTATGAATTACAAAATAACCATATATAATTCATACACTACATGATTGAGTACATAGTGCGTAAGTACATAGTGTATAGTGCGTCATTTGGGACGCAGCTTTAGTCGACAACAAATAAACTGTGATTTTCTGACCAAACATTTTGCGCACAGACACACACACACAACAGAGGTGTAAAGTATTTGAGTAAATGTAATTAATTACTTTACTTGAGTATCTTTTTGGATACTCTGTAGTTTTACTGAGTATCAAAGATCAAAGATTAGCAACTTTTACTCTCTACTTCACTATATTTTTGAATGAGTATCTGTAGTCTTTACTCCACTATATTTGTAATGAGTGTTGCAGTTACCAGGGGCACCGTAAGGGGGGAAGGTTAGAACGATTCCAAGGGCCCGGCGATAGAGGCCGGTATTTCTAACGAGAGCTGCTTCGTGAAGCTTCGAAACTTTTGTGAATCAATTGTTTCGAAACACTGGTTCGGAGCGCGTATCAAACTGCCAAAGTCACGTGATTTCAGTAAACGAGGCTTCATTACGTCATAACTGTTTCGAAACGTTACGAAATGGTTCGCCACTGGGAGGCGATCTCTGTGAACCAGTGAATCATGGGAGTTCATGATCACCCCCCAGTGGCAAACCATTGAACCAGCGTCTATGGTTTTTACCTGATCTCGGATCAGTTTCATCAATTTGTAGACATTTTAACGAGACATTTGTGTAATTAAAAGTATTAGAAGTAGTTAATAGTCTCTTACTGGCCTCTATATACAAGCTCTCAAAAAAACAAACAAAACAAGCCTTGCAAATTAATATAAAATATTTTAAAAACCACATGTTATACAGGCACTTCATATTTAATGGTATTTTATGATTTTTATTGCATTTAATGCATTATACTTTCAATAAAACATTTGCAATGGGTTTTTAAAAGCTGTTTTTATCCATGCTTTAGCCTGAGTTTTAGTTGCATTTACACACTTTTGACCAGCAGGCGTCACCAGTGTGTGGTGTTTCGAGCGCTTCGAAACAGTGAATCATTTTGCAAAGCAATTGGTTCAATTGATTCGAAGCTTTGAAAAGCTTCATTTCTCCCATCGCTAGTGTCTTGTTATCTTTTTAAGCATGTTAGCCCCTTGTGTATATATATATAGCCCTAGTGTTTCTTTAGTTCCTTGTGGGTTGTTGAATGTAATGATTATCTGTTTGCCCATCATTCTGTTCCTTGTTCCCTGTGGTTTTTGGTTTATTGTTTGTACTAGTTTTTCCATTAAATACCTGCACATAGGTCCTTGCCTCTGCCTCCAGCTTCTCCACAATGTTACAGTTTTTCACTGGCATGTCTCTTTGACTAGTGCATATTTGAGCCTACATTTATTATAAGCAGTGTTCGAACTATAACGTGGACTTTGGGAGAGCCCACTTGTTTTTTTGTGGGAGCCGAGCTCCCCCTAGCTCCCCCGTAGTTCACACCCTGATTATAAGTAAAATACTGAAGTACTGTTAAAATCAGATACTCTAAGACTTTTACTCAAGTTGTTTTGGAATTGGTGACTTGTAACGTGTAGTGGAGTAATTTTCACTGTAAGGTATCTGTACTTTTGCTCAAGTATGATTTTCATGTTCTCTTTATACCTCTGACACACACACACACACACACACACACACACTTCCTACAGTCTGCAGTGTCTCCTGCTATCTAATACAGCAACGTGAGTGAAGGCATTGCATGTTATTTCAGAGATGCACAAGCAGCCTGTCCAGAGTGTGCTGTTAAAATCCCAGCGCTCCAGGCTCAGTGTGCGGAGTATAAGGCTCTTTATCAAGCTGCCAGTGTGGAGAGAGACAGACTGCTGGAGCTGACCAAAGTGCAGCAAACCAGGTAGGACAGAATCAATAACTATGTTATTAATAACTTTCTTCAAAACATCTTCATTAAGGTTCCATGGATGAAAGAACGTTATATGGGTTTGGAAAGAGCATAGGTGTATGGTGTCCCTTTGAATGGTGTTAAAAGTGTTAACTAATACCATCTGATTCTACTTAATAAAAGAATCTTTCAAAAGCTTCAACGGTACCGATGTCAGGGATTCCCAAAATGTTTTGTCAGCCAAACCCATTTAATGTTTACTTGAAGTCCCTGTGAGATTTCATGTTAATACTTCGCATTTTCACTGTTCTCTGATGATGGTTAATGGTCACAGGACATTCCAAACTATATAAATATGATATAATATGTCAATCTAGATAATGTTTTATTTTGACTTTGTTGCCTGTCTATAATAATAAATATTATTATAAAATAAAATCCTTAAGCTTTTATTTTGGCAAGATACAGGTGAAATGCTGTAAATTTTGTTTACAAAAACGAAAATGTTCCAAAATATGACAATGAAGTAAACCTAGCATACGTTGCATTCCCATATGCACTTTAAACTGCATTTTATTCACTGAATTTACTGTGAACTGAAACGCTGAAAACACCGGATCACAAGCTGCTCCCGCTTCACTCTGCATTATTTAATTAGATCACAGGATTTGATTTGATAATTGCAGCAAGCTATATCTTACTTTTCGTGCAGCCCCTTGTTTTTATTTTAAACTTGCACTCAATATTATGAATTACTAGCTTTTCATCAACTCACAAACCCCCTGCAGTTCCCTCACGAAACCCCGTTTGGGAAACCCTGTCATATGGGCTAAGCAATGGGTTTTTCAAGGGAATGGCTGTTTGTCTTAATTTATGCTACAGTGAAGAAGAGGCGAAGCGCCAGTGTGCAGAAGCTGAGCAGAAACTCAGACTGGAGTGGCAGCGTTCAGTCTCACTGGAGCAGCAGCTGGAGAAAGCCAAACTGGACTTAAGGAAAGAAGCGAGTCTGCAAACGTCTAATAGGAGTAGAACAGGTTCTGTATGACCTCATGTAGACTGAATTTGAATGATATTTCTCATGGTAGGAGTCTCACTGAAACCAGTTTTACATTGTAAAATCCAAGGTTCATTGAATATTGAATCTCAAACTGAAATCCTTTGGGTTTTCTTGGCCTGATGTAGGAAGCTCAGGCAGCACTCTGAGTCTCCCTGACAAACAGGAGGGTTCGTCTCCCAGAAGCCCCTCTGATGTCACCCGTGATGCACAACTTGGTGAACTCAAAGCACGGTATGGCTTTTGTTCCTAAACTTAGTTTTCACATGCAACCTCATTTTAGTACGAAAAGATATTTCAGCAACTGTCAAATAAACTTGTTTTCTACCATTGAGCCAAACAGCTCTAAGAACGGTAAGGAATGGTTACAGTTATTTCCACTTGAGCTTGTTTCGGCACAGCATGATTACAAACCATTCTCGGCCCGGATTTCCGTACTGGAGAACCGTGCTGGTAGAACGAGTATAGTGATGTCGCCACTCAGGATTGGTCACTTGTTAGTTTCCTGGCTACTAGTTTCCAACTGGTCAAGCGTGCAAACATAAATATCTCATCATCCTCTATAAAGCGGTGACTATTTACATCTCATAGCATCTGTAAACATTTGCATTACCAAGGCAATGTCTGATGCATTTGTATAACAAACTCTGTTATCTGTTAATGGAACAGTTAAGCAATGAGTAAGGTTTTGCCTGAAAGTGGATATACAGTACACATGCCCAGTATCTAGATCACTGAATTACTAATTTTGTTCACAGTATTTTGCCCTGATTGTGAGAGAAAATCTGCAGAATTTAAAACACTTAGTTATTTAGTTCTGAAGTGAAATTTATATAGGAATCCATGAGATCTGGAAATTTCAGTGAGGGTAAAAGATTATCCCATGCAAATTTTGCAACGGGTTCAATTTGGTCACACGTGTCTTCGATTCGCAGTGTTGACCTACAAAAAACTGTTTGTTTTGAAAATGGCTTCTGTGTGAGTTGTGCTTCATACATCACAACACTATTGACAATACAATATATCATAGACCTTTTGCCCGTGAAATGCTTTTGAAATTTCGTTAATGTGATGGCACCTTCCCGCTGCTAGCAAAACCTTGCAGCTTTACACTGCAAATTTACTGGACACTTATTTATTGAAACTGCCTTTATGTTGAAGTGAAATGACAGTGACGGTTGGCAGTTCAGTATGTACCTAGGTTTTGAAGTCAAACATAAAACAAATGCACATGCATTTGACAAGTCGCTTTAAACTGTAGGCTTAGTTTGAAGCGCTTAATATAAAGCATGTCTCATGTGTGATTAGGAAAACTTGAATCATGCACTTTTCTTGCAGCAGCTCTCTCTGTACACCCTCAACTTAGAACATGAGGTCACTTAGAACATGATAGCACTTACTACTAGCAACACTATTTGGGTATCATTCATGTCTGTAGAATAAATAGTGTTCTGTCATGAAACTCTAGATGGCGCAATCTGATATAATCGCATCATTATTCACATGGCACAGCTGATTGTTTCCTTTTTGCATCAGCAGCCAGTGAGCTTGCTGCTCCACATTCAAATACTCGGCTAGTGGTTGCTGTAGCAGTTGCAGTGCACTTCAGAAACCCTCCACCTCCCCAGCTCCACCTGTATAGATCAGCTACGGGGCGATTTCATGTATGTTATATGGGGGTTATTTCATATATGTTAGCAGCAGTATTTCTTACATGCTCAGAGCAGTATGTTGTGGATGTATTGGCAGTAGCAAGTCTCTGTACTTGCTCTTTCGCTGCAGCAGCAGCAGCGTAGTAGATCTATTCCGGCAAGACCAAACACATTAACATTGTCATGTACATTACCATGCTAAACTCTCCGAGAGTTGTCGTGACAGAACTAAGCAGAGAATGAGCCACATGCCAAGTTAAAACCATTATACACAGTGTTCGAACTACAATGTCTTATTAAGGGGAGCCGAGCTCCCCCTAGCTCCCCCGTAGTTCGCACCCTGATTATACATAATATGAGCAATTCTAATAGTGATGCTCTCTGAAACTGCTTGCTTCAGACCAGTACACTAAATGCATTTTTTTTGTCCATACAGGTTGGCACTGCAACTAGAAGAAAATGAATCCTTGAGAACTGCTCTGAAGAACGCCTTGAAGGAAAAGAAAGAAGGCTTGCAATTCTACAAGGACATGCTGGCCCAAGCAAAACAGGAATTCCAGCATGCCCACAGAAAGCATGAGCAGGGGACTTAGACTGGACTGATGAAGGGTCTTTGCTAGCAAACACAGATCCCTGAAGGACAACACTGGCAGTTAAGTTAAGGGGACGATCGCTCTGTATGTTGCCATGTTTGCTGTTGACAACACACACACACACACACACACACACACACACACACACACACATGCCAGCATTGTGCCAGTATCCCATCATGCCTCTGTCCTAGCTGCCCAGCTGCTCCCTAAGGTACACACTAGTACCCTGATACCTCCCTCTCACTCACTCTCTCTCTTCTTCTGCTGTTTTCTTTGTCATGAGTGATCGTCTGCAGGTCTCTAAACACCGGGGCCCACCTGGTCCGGGAGTCGCCCATTAGAACCCCATATGTGATGGAGACACAATGCGCCCAACTTCCACACCTAATCAACACCATTGCCGTGTTTGTTGTGGACAACACACACACACACACACACACACACACACACACACACACATGCACATCAGCATTGTGAAGACATGAGATATGAATGAGATATGATACATGTTTCACTCTTTGCTGGAGGAACAGTTGTGAAAAGAATAGTATAATAATGAGAACCTGTTTGTTTATTAACGGTAGGAACATTTTAAGAAATTATCAAGGTAAACCAAGTGTTTTTTTTTTTCTTTTTGGCACTCTAAAGTGGAAACAAACTTTCCTGCCTTCTTTTCTGACGCACATTGCTCATTAATATTTGATTTGTGTGTCGTGGTGTGAAACCAAAAATGAAAAGCAAGACCAAAATGAGCTCGGCAGAATGTGCACCGTGCCCTGCTCAAGCAATACGTGTGTGATGACTTGACCCCTCGCTTTCCGTGTCTCTCCTCTTGTTTACATTTAGCGTATCAGCCGGCGCATTCATGCTGCCATACATGAGTTATTCTCTTTCCTATGTGGCCGGAGGGGGTTTGAGGCCCCCCATCCTGACGCTGCTCCACCACGCTTAATTTAAACCTGTGGCTGAAGCAGTGTGCTCCTCTTGAAACAGCGCACTATTTCATCTTCCCAGAAGCCTGAGGGACACTGGCAAGCCCAAGGCTGTTACGAGTGCAAGCACCACAAGACCAAAATATCATCCAGGATTGGAAACGAAGCCTTATTTACAGTGAAGAAATAAAAAAGAACTTGTGTTTGAAATGAGATTGTAGATAACAGATGTTCAACAAGCAAAGGGACATTTGACACAGCTTAATTGCAGTTGTAAAGGCTGGCGTGACGCTTTAAAGGGGCAGTTCACCAAAAAAAAGAAAATTCTGTCAAAACGTACCTTGTTAAAAAGAAGTAAAGCATACTTTTAAAGAGTGTACTTAATATGGGAATACTATATTTAAAAAGAATATACTTGAGTGCAAGCTGAATGTAGGGTTTTCAGACATTTAATTGCATGCTATTTGCGGTAAAATTCAAATGTATTATAGTTTAAATTTATATTTAATGCAGTTAGTTGAAATTAAGTGTTTTTTTATCTTCGTAAGTAGGACGTAATCTTAATCTTTATGTGTAATTGCATAATTTAGTTGTCTTAGAAATATGGTTAATTGTGTTGTCAAATGTACTGACAATCATTTATGGCAAACTTAAATATATTTAATGCAATTTCTATTGAAACTTGTATATCTTGTATTTAAATATATTTGTAATTACACATTAAGTACATTTTAAATATAAAATATATAAATGTAAAATATAATGTAATTTATTAACTTAAAATGTAATGTCATTTAAATGTAATATCGAATAACACACTACAGTTAAAGTTATGCTTTAATATGGTTTTTATGCTTTAGTATGTTAGTCAGCACATCAAAATAAGTCTTCTTCTTTAAAGCACATCAAACAAATATTAAAACGATTTAAAACATAAGTGCAACTTTTAATTTTACATTATTACAAAGTGCACTTATTAAAATGTCTTGTGTTGTGTAATTTCTGCAAGTACAGTTTAAAAAAAGAACTTTTTTTTGTAGTGTACTTCAAGATTTGAAGTACACTACAAGTGCAGATCAAATACAATTAAGTGAACCTCTTTTTCACAAGGGTTACTTACCCTTTCCAGACCTGTAAGACTTCTCTTCATCTTCAACTTTGTAAAAGTAATCCAAATGAATTCTGAAGAGACATAATCCCTTTATATGATGAACAGATTTAATTTATAGGCTTTTATTCATTTATTGATTGATTTAACATTGACCAACACATACTTAGAGCTCATCAAACATGGTAAACAAGGAAGCTCAGTCGTGCTTGCTTGACGCACAAGATGATTTGTTCTTGTTTTTGATGTGTGAAAGTTTTGGTTGCATGGACTTTGAATGGATAGACATAAATGTTGAGAGAATATTACAAATATCTTACTTTGTGTTCTGAAGATGAACGAAGTCGTATGGGTTTGAAACAACATGAGAGTGAGTAAACGATGACAGATATGTCATTTTTGGATAAACTAACCCTTTTAATATTGCAGGAGATTGCAATGCTGACATTTGTTTCTCGAGTGACCACTCAGTTGTCTACAAATGGTGTCTAATCAAATATATTAATTAATATTCATTTTTCTTTTTTTGTTAAAGATTTATTTTTTGGCATTTTTGCCTTTATTGTGACAGGACAGATAAGACGTCGGGAAAGGTCCAGGAGTCGGGACTCGAACTCAGGACACATGCAGCCCAACAACGCTGTATGTCGGCATGCTGCCCACAAGGCTAGCGGCGCAGACAATATTCATTTTTCAATAATATTAAATAAAGCTGGTAGAAAAACAGTAGTATCAGCCAGGGCATTGACATGCCTGAAGATTTGAAATCCACTGCAACTATAAAACCTCCACGATCAGCAGTTTCTGCATCCGGCAAAGCCTTTGTGGTAATGCCACAATAATGTCTCCAAACAGTAACATTTCTATATGCCTGCATGCTTTTGCATTTACAATTACAATTTTTTAAAACTATTGAGAACTAGTGAGCTGTTGAGATGACTTTTTTAAGGCATCATAGTGCCCAAATGGTGTATTTTCTGCTTTGCTTGCACAAGTCAACAAGATCTCAGGGTGTCGCTACAATAACAGACTGCCATGCTATAACAGACTATTGCTATTTTCATGTTTTCCTGTAGCCTGGAATGGTGAATACAACTTGACCTCTGCAATCCAAGCAAGCATTTATCATTGACTCAGTGCTTCAAGTTATATCAGGCCTGTAGTGTAGGGCATGCTACACTTTATATGCATGGCAAAAAACAAAACAAATCCCCTTGTTTTCTGTATATGATTGAGACCTGATGAACCAAAGAAAATTGAGTGGACGATCTGATCATCACATTCAAGCAGACAGACTTTCTCTTGACATGTAGAAAGCCATGTATTTGTTTGCCAACACAAGAGTTTCGTTTTATCAGATGGAGCCCTTCCAATGAAATTAATGTACTATATTTTAGTTTGATTTTTTTTTCTTTCTATTTTTAGGGGATTTCATTGTACTAAATTATATTTATTGAAGAGTTATGATCCATTTATTACATTTGATACATTACATTTATTACATAGATCTGAAAATGAAATCTCAAATTTCCAACTTAAACTGTTGTAAATTATTTTGTAAATTCAATTCAGTCAAATTTTTAAAAAATATATATATATTTTTTTTTTTTTTTATTTTTTTTTATGATGCACAAGATGCACAAAAAATACTTTTTAAAAAAAATTTCATATGAAATACATATTTTCCAAAACATTACTTTAAAAATGTGTGAAAATCAACAGCCATAAATCTAAACAAATCGTATTCCAAATTTGAGGTTGATATCTCAAAAAATGAACTTTTAGTAAGATTTTGTTTCTACTAGATGAAATTCATGTGGACCATGTAATTATTTCGAATCATGTTTTTGTGTTTGTGTGTGTACACATAGGTGCCAAAAACATTTACCATGAAGTAAAAAAAAATAAAAATCTAAAAATCAAAACATTTTTTTTTCAAACATGACCTAAGAAAATGAACTTGAGTTTTGTTTTTAGGATTAAAGGAATCTAATATTTTCATTGTCTGCCCATTAAATTATATTGACCTCTCTCTATATTACTAATATCATATTTTATACTATTATATATTATGAATAAATAATAATTTAAAAATATTTATTTCACTACATGACAATTTTAGGTGCAAAATGATTTCAGTACTTATTTCAAAACACTTGGTACAGTACAAAACATAAGAAGCAGTGGGAAACCCATCACTTTGACATATGTGGCTTCAAACCAAACAGATTGGCATTGTTTTGCAGGACCCCAGTAGCCCTGAAAGGTTCAGATTTATTCCCGAATACCCAGCAATAACCCACCAAGCCAAATGCATACTTGTGTCAACAGCGTGTATGTAAACAGTCTCACCTATTTGTCATTCCACCTTTGAATGGGCCCTTTCTCTGCGCCGCTCCTCCAAGGTATTCCCTCGTTCCGGACCAGTGCTTCCTCCACACCATTGACTACATCCAGGAACTTGGGTAAATAAGTCCCCGCTGTGCAGGCAGAGGTTAAAGTGGACTGTGCCAGTTTTGACGGCGTTGTGAAAGAGGTGAGAGCAAATCACAGCCTTGTGAATACATGCATTCATTTCACACCGTGATTATGAAAGAAATCAAACTCTAGCATGTTGGTTAACTGAAGTGTATCAGGTCACGTTTTACATGACGGTTTCCAGGCTACATTGCAATTACAGAAAACATGTAATCAGTATGCAATCATTAATTAATTAGCTTGTAATTAAAAAGGATTGAATGCTGTACACATTACTGCAGTCATTAATTGTAGTCACATGCACAGTGCTTTACATGACACTGTAATCAAGTGCTGGGAAACAAACAAACTAAAAACCTGGGCCTAAATCAAGCACTAGTTTTTGATCTGTAATTTTTGTTAAAGGGGTCCTATTATGCTCTTTTACAAAGTCTTGATTTTGTTTTGGGGGTGTACTAGAACAGGCTCTCATACTAGGTTGTTCGAAAAACACATTATTTTTCACATATTTTACATTATTACAACACCTCTCTCCCCAGTCTGGCACGAACGGCTCAAATAGTTCCTGTATCAAATGAAGGCCCGCCTTCTGAAATACAAAATGTGCTGTGATTGGTTAGCTGGGCCAGTGTGTGTTGTGATTGGCAGCACTCGGCGCCTGGTCGGGAAATGTCACGCCCCATACCACTGCGAGCTTCAGTGTAAATATTGTGTAAAAATCAAATCAATTTTAGTGCGATTTAAACCTGGATGATTGTAACCACTCCAAGTTCGTCTGTCTTGTGAAAGCTAGCGCGCGTCCCATTCGTCGATATTTGTGATATCACAAATCCTGGAAAATATGCGTTGTAGTCCAAACGAGTCGTTCGTTGTAGTTTTTGAAAAGTGATTTCTGTTAAATAAAATATCTCCTTTTGAATTGGACTTTGAGCTTTATAACTTTGCAGATATTTTTTATGCTCAAACAGCAACATTACAGACTAACTAAAGTTGAAAAAGTGAAAAAGCATAATAGGACCCCTTTAAGAATTGAACAGTTTATTGAACCTTAAAAAATTTTGTATTTGTGTACCATATTACTTTTATCATAGGCTTTTATGGCTCATATAGTATGATGTAGTGAGAATATGCAGGGAAAAACAGCATGGTTTTATTCAGATTGAATTGTATTGTAGCTTGTAATATAGGCCTACTGTAAATCAATGAGATCTTTATAACAGTAACTAACATAAAATGTTATAAATATCAGTCACTGTCTTCCAATAATGTCTTAGTGAGATGATACTGTATTTAAATGCTTAGTTTTATGTTCAAAACATATTATAATACAATGCAATACAATGATGACTGAGAGATGAACAAATAAACGTTTTTTCTTATTTTAAATAAAAATCAGTTAAGATTTCACAGCAAAAAGACACGTGAAGCATGAAGGGAGAATGTATTTTACTTGCTAAAAAAGTATAAACTATCAGTCAGACGTCAGAAAGCATGTAGCTATTGTGTGCAACATGTTTTTCAGCAATGTTTTGATCATGTTGAGGCCTTGGAAATTTGCATGTCAAACATGATACAGTCAGCTTTATAGGGTTAATCATAACCGTGTTTGTCATTTTAAACTGTAAATCAGTATGCAAATCAGATGCTTTCTTCCTTTTCTGACTGATTCCTGTATTAATTTGACTAAAAATGAGCGAATATCACTTTTCATTTAAATCGGTGCTGCGACCATTGTTTTAACCACAAGATGGCAGTGTATATCAAACTGGAGAAACGGCCTGCAATCGTCTTTCCAGTTTCTCACCGGATCCCTTAATTAGGATCAAAATAAATGATGCGCCGCATTAGCAGAGACTATGGGTAAGAGCTTGCATAAATTACATATCTCCGTGCATGCATTGGTCTGGCTGTCATTACTCATTAAGTCACGAGTGAATTTGCATGAGATTATGAAACAGAAATACACAGTTTACTTGTACACTGAATGTTAGCAGAAATGTTATTTTCCTGACCTGAAATCATGTGAAAGTAGCACAATAAACTGCCGGCGAGGTGTTTGAGAAGCTGGGCGTTCTGACGGGGACCGCAGGCTGTGATTTGGGGCTCTCAGTGGCACCACAGCGCGGCCCTCAGCATTACGGTTTGGCAGCTTGTTTTATGAGGGGCCTTCTGGGTGGCAGCTCATGCACGACTTTAATGCAGATATGCCGTTTTTCCACAATCCCACGGGTGTAGCTCTTTCTTTAACTTAATTACTTTTAATGAAACCATTGAAAGGGTCAGTTCCTATTACTAGGCAATTTAAAGAACTGTGGAGAGCCCCTATTTTTGGATGCACAACACATTCTTGATTCATGTGTCGTCTCAAAGCTCGTTTCCCATCACTCTCACACGATTTTTCCATGACACACTTATCTCAAGATTGCTCTCTGTGGTTGCAGCAACTATGAATCTGAAATTGGCCTCGAGACACTGATTGTAAAATACAGTAAAAGCTCCACATGAAAACTGGATTGGATCTATCGGAGAGAACAACTGCCAGTATGTCAGTGTAGCTAATAAAGCACCAACATACAAACCGGCTGGCCTTCATGTGTCTGTAATCCAGAATCATTCGAGTGAATTATAGTTATTAAACACCATCTGGGTTTGCTGGGTCTGTAGCATCACGAGTACATCATGTTACAGGTGCAGCGGGTGGCCGGGAAGTGTAGATCACTGACTTTCCCTCATCTGCCAAGACTAGCTGTGAACCAATTAGGAGAGACTAGAATACCTGTCAGTGGCAAGTGGTGACATCTTTAACCGGGTATGCTATCTAATTTATCAGGGACGACTAACTAGAAACACCATGGCAGGTGCCGATTTAAAAGTAGGGCAGTTGTAGGGAATAGCCATTAACATGGTTACACATGCATAACCCCATGCAGAATCTGCAAAATAGTACTTAATAAGACCATACAAAATGCATGTTTTTTTTAAGTACTGTCCTGAGCAACTTAAGCATCCTAAGCTTAAGTTGATCGTAGCTCCATCGGTTCCAATGGAGCTATGATCAACTTAAGCTTACGATGCTTCTGGGAAACGCAGCCCTGGATAAGATATTTTACATAACAGATGTTTACATATACTACAAAATTTTAACTAAATGTATAAAAATAGCCCCATTGAAAGGATTACTTTTCTTGCATCTTGCATATTTGAACCCTTCTCAGCAGTGATTGTCTGATTTTTAGATCCATCTTTTCACATTGATGACAACTGTGTGTACATTTTTCTTGTTTTGTTTAAATGTCTTTTTTTATTATTTAATAGTGCCCTTTAGAAGCTACAGAAGACACTTGTGTGTTTCCCAGAAGACCAAATAAGTAAAACAAAACAAAACAAAAACAAACAAAAAAGAGAAATTTTCACTTTGCATAGTTTGCTCAAGCATGTTTTCAAAAATTGTGTACCTTCAAGATTCTTTGTCTATGCCAAAAAAAATTAGACAATATGTTTTCAGTGGACTTTCAAAATTTGCTTTGCTTGAGAAAACATGCAAATATATAGATCTAGGGTGTGTCTCAATCAGCTCCCTTGTTCAGTAGTCAGGGCACTGATCAGGGAGTCGGCCATTTTAAGGGCTGTCTCATTAGCGAATTCCTTCCAGTGCACTGGAATGTTCACTTTCTGAAAAATCCCACAATGCATTGCAAATTCTGTGGAGCATCGATGCTCACTATGCTCCCTTACCGGAAATAACTTCACATTTTAGAAGTGCGAAACATAAACCACACGAGCCAATTTGATAAATATAATGACACACGATAGAAGATTTGAAAAGATGTTTTTATTTCAACATAAACACACATCGCTAGACAGGTAGTGAACACATCTAATTAACATTTATAATTAATATTTGTGTCACAGTCTTCAGCTGGTGTGCCCAGGATGGCCACCAGATGACACTGTGTTTTTGTGTGAGCACATGGCTTGTGTTTGTTTGGTGCCATGTGCTCTCTCCTGTCTATTGTCTGACCCCGCCCATCTTGTTACCTTGTTATTGTTTCAGTGGGTTCACCTGTGTCTCCCTCATTACCCTCTTCATTTGCTCCCTATTTATTCTCCTTGTGTTTGCAGTCCTGTGCTTCTTCGTTGTTGTATGTGGTCGAATGTGTCTGTATGCTCCTTGTTTGGGCTTGCTCTGCCTGAACCTGTGTGGCCTTTCCTTGCCTTGCCAAGTTGTGCCCTGTTCTGGCCTTCCTGCCTGTGGTTCCCCCTTGGGGTATCTTTTGTTGTTGTTTTGTTTTGTTTTATTAATAAAGAGTCCATACTTCCTGCATTTGAGTCCTCGCCTCATCTCTCCACCCGCACTGTGACAGAACGAAGAAGCCATTAGAGGACTCAGCAGAAGATGGGCTCATACGACCTACCAACCTACACTTCCTGCAGCCCCCTCCACCAACGCATGCTCCAGCTCGAAACCTTGAACTCCCTCTGACAATGAGGAACTGACCTGAGGGAGTTTGCCCTGGAGTTTTGGAGTGGTGCGGAGGGGCTGGGATACAATGACTCTGCTCTAAAGGACATTTTTAACCTCTGCCTGGACAAACCCCTACTGCATTGGGAGATGGAGCTGGTAGAATAATTGGATTTCTGGAACTTCTCCAGTTACTTGCAGCTCCGCAAGAAGGGAAAGGTAGTACACCACCAGACTCTACACGCAGGGACTGTCCCATCCCCACCTTCCTTGGCAAGTCAACTCCAGGACCCTCATTGACCCCCACGCTGAGGCGTAGGTCAAGAAAGAGAAGGGCAGCAAGGTCCACTCCTGTCAATCTAGAGCCCACTCCAGAGGAAGCAGATCCAGAGTCTGCTTTAGAGGAGGTGGTTTCAGAGGCTCTTAACATCATGGCCGCCATCCTAGAGACTCGTCCCGACATAGCTGCCAGTCCAGAGCCTCTTCACTAGATGGCCGCCAGTCCAGGGCCTCTTTACAGCATGGCCGTCACACCAGAGACTTTAGCAGTCATGGATACCACATCAGTGTTCCTGGGTATTACGAACATGCCGCAT